CATAAATATGTGTACTGTGTATATTTATTATGTATATAAATACACACACATACAGTAAATATTTACATGCATATATTTATATTCTTATATGTTATATATAAATATATTTAACATATAAACATAACATATTTTTTCATGAATATCTACATGCATGTGTTTGTATTTATATACATAATAAATATACACAGTATACACATTATGTAAACAAAAACTTTTATTTTGGATGCGATTAATCATTTCACAGCTCTAATATATATATATATATATATACACACACACACACACACACAGTTAGAAACATTTATTTCCAATACAGTGAGCATGTTAAAATATTAGTATTATTTAAAAAAAATTTAAACCATTTAAACTTTTAATCAAGCAATTCCAGAATATGCATTTATATATAAATACTGTTAAAAAGAACTCCCTACTTCCATATAAATTATTTTAAAATCACAAAACATGTCTAGATCATACCCCAAAAATCAAAATTATATTATTATATTATTTTAAAAAATCTATTTTTAGGGGTTCATTTTCTTAACCAAAAAAAACTTACTTTATTTTCCTTTTTAATTTGTGTTAAATGTGACCTAGACATCTTTTCTTGAGGCTCACCCATTTTATAATTTAGTTGTATTTTATACTGGCAAAATTAAATGAAATTTCCCAGTGACTGTTCCTATTCTTCCCTGAGCTTAAAGGCACAGCTTACCCAAAAATAAAACTTCTGTCATCATTTACTCAAATTTTTCAATCTGTTTGACTTTCTTCTGCGGAATACTAAAGAATGTGTCTGTACAATGGAAGTCAAAGGTAAACAAAACTGTTACCAATATTTCCTCAAAACATTTTCTTTCATGTTCCACAGAAAAAGCAAACCGTACAAGGTTTGTAATGACATGAAGATGAGCAAATGATGACAGATGATTCATTTTTAGGTGAACTATCTCTTTAAGAAAAGTGCAGAAGACTCTCAAAATCATCCCTCCAAAGGGAGTCTATCAAAAGCATCATTTAAAATGGTCTTAAAACCCTGCATTTTCAATTCAAGAAGCGGGACAGGTCCTCTCTAATCTCTGCCTCGTCCCAAGGACCGTGGATGTTGTCCTTGTGCCTCTGCAGATGGACCAGCAACAGTGGACAGAGTAAAGTTAATGTTAACAGAGCCAGCGAGAGGAGAAGAGCCCCCTTGGGCCACAGGCTCTCCAGACCCCTGACTCCAGCCAGACACACCAGCACCGCTGCCCACGGGAAGCTCCACTCCGCCTTCTCCCGCATGCGGTGCAGCAGGCAGGGCCACAGAGCGAACACCAGGAGGGCACAGCTCAGCATGGTGAAGGTATGCAGGGCGCCAGGCAGCCGGGACGCCAGGCACACCGACCCGAAAAGAGCCGCGTTGAGGGAAAGACTGCCCGGCAGACTGGGCTGAGCATACGGGAAGGACACCAAGTGAGCCAGGAGCATCACGGCTGACATGGCGTGCACAGTATCTGTACTAACCGACTCGGTTAGAGTCTTTAAAACAGGTGAAAACCCGAAGGTAAACGCCAGGAAGATGGTCGCGCTCTGCAGGTCCACCAGGCGCGTTCGCTCCCGAACACAAGAGCCTCCCAGGACCTCGTAGAGTCCGTATCCCAGCAGAGCACAGCTTAGACAGACCCAGAGCACCGCGGACGGCACCAGGTCTCCCTGCTCCATATAAGACCACACTGTGAGGAAGACGGCCACGCAGGACACCTGCTGTGCGATGAGCCCCGTCTCACGCACCACCGCCCAGTAACGGTACTGACGCACTCGGATGTTGCGCCGCAGCTCCTCCAGAAAGCGTCGGTCCACATAATTGTCCGGGAAAGGCTGGCGTTCATATAGGACTTTACGCCACGGGACAGCTGCAGGAGCTCCCGGACCACTGTCTGCCCCCATCCCCTGTCAAAACTGACAATACACAAACCATACAGCTATCTTTTTATAGGATTTAAAAATTAATTTAATAAATAAATCCAAGTATCATACATAAAAAGAGAAATATAATTCATTTTTAAATGCCACAAAACTTTGAGCAACAAATCTATATAATCAAAATATTATTACACAAAACTTCAACGTTTTTGTTCAGCCTTACTTATTAACCTTTATTAAACCTTTAATAACATTGTTAAACACAAACTAAATAAATCCAAGCAGCATGAATATATATATATATAGATATATATATAAATCTATATAATCAAAATATTATTACACAAAACTTCAACGTTTTTGTTCAGCCTTACTTATTAACCTTTATTAAACCTTTAATAACATTGTTAAACACAAACTAAATAAATCCAAGCAGCATGAATATATATATATATAGATATATATATAGATATATATATATATAAGATTTTAAATAAACCGTAAAAATGGTGTAGAAGCAATTTTCACACAGAATTTCACAAATAATTACAAAGAAACTGCAAGTAACACTGAATTAAACATGATTTTTAAAAAAGACTAATAACGTATTTTCTTGTAAAATGTACTTCAATAATCTGAGCATACATAAAATGTTCAAATCATTTTTAAATGCCACAGAAATCTTCATTTTGTGTAAGTCAACCTACTGATAATCAAAATATTACATGAATATTCAGCCTTCGTTGGGCTCTAGTCTGCGCGAGACTGACAGCTTCTCGCGTCGACCTGAATCTGATTAACAAGAGATTCGACTCTCCTTCCACCGATCATACAGTACGCCAGCGTGTGTGGAGACAAACTATGTTCATTCATATTGAATGCATAAAGGTTTTAAACCCATATAAATGTAATATCTTACCGAAACAGCAGGGTTTTCTCTCTTTACCTGCTTCTGTCGCGCCATCTCACACCCGGAAGTGACGAACAACAAAAACAAAAGTGCGACTGTAGCTTTAAGTGAAGAGCGCCATCTGCGGACGTTTCCTCAAAACCTCCAGCGGACGAAGAGTGGGTAGCACCCATAGACTGTAAGGTAGCACCACAAGATTGTTCTGTCGTCGGTATCTCATACAATCTTGTGATTTGAACTATCTGAAGCGTGTGGAACGTTTTGTTTTTGGTCACAGTTGTAACCGGTGAGAAGGAACTGCTCAGGCGGCCAATCAGGCCAAGGGGTTTCAAACGGGTCCGTCAAGAATTGAGAGATTTTTATTCACTTATTTATTTACTAAATGTATTTTCAAGGTTTTCAAAGTTAACGTGTGTGCTTAACATATTTATAAAATGTGAACGTAAAAAAATTATGTTAAACATTCATGAAATTGTATTATTTGATTATGCTTTCAAAACACTGGTCAGAAAGCGTGCGATTATTTTATATTTTTCTCAGAACGTTAACAATGAGTGAAGTTCTCCTTGATTCTGATTGTAAAACAGCAAATGAAGGATCACTTCACATATTATAATTTTTAACGTCCAAAAAGTGTGTGGGGGATACAACATTAAACACTTAAGTCTTGATCATATTCCTTCACTGAAAGGAAAACTAGTTGAAAATTGCAGCTGGCAGTGCTAAAAGTCTCCAGAAGGTGGCGACATGAGATTAGAAATTCAATAAGAAATCCAATTTAAGTTTTCTGTGGAACAATTCAAAACAAGCACATTTCAGAAACTCAAAGAAATCCACACGATTCATAATGGCGCTTTATTCAACTAAAAGGGAAAAAAAAGGATAAGAAAAAATGTTAAACTGGCTTTTAGTAGATAAACTGATAAGCAGTGCAACTATGATATACTGAAAATTCAAAAAATTTAAAATAATCTCAAGCACAAAAGAGAGTGATTTGATCAAAAAGAGCAGTAAACTTCATTTATTAGCACAGTGAGAGCAGCTTCCCACAGGACCAGAGACTCTCAGAGGAAGATGGTTGTCGTAGTAACAACACAGAAATAGCTCAAGCATCACTAGATAGAGAGAGAGCAACCGCACACTGCAAATGTTCCTGCACTGCAACAACACAACAGCCGTTAAAATACTGCACTTTAAATCAAGCACATTCACCAAGGGCCTCTGAATGAGTTCTAATGCACACTGAAGCCCAGGCTGCTGTCATTGACAGATGAGGGATTGAGCTGCTGCTGTTATTTCTAGTGCTGCTAAAGCCTCCAGAGATTTATAGAGCTGAGAGTCATATTCAGCCTGGCACTGACCGGGCCTTCTGAGAAGAGTGTTTTTAAGTTGGCATAGCTCATGTGTGAATACAAGGTTAGGGTCTTTTTAAAAAAAAAAAAAAAACTTTAGAAAGTCAATTTCTCTTTGTATTCATCTTGATTTCATACCATTTTCCTGAGAAAAAAAAAAACAACCCTAAAAATGTCATGTGGTGTAATCAAGAAAATATAATGTATTTTCTTTAAACCTTGAATACATGAGTGTAAGTTATGCTTTAAAATGTGTTTTTGAAGGTGAAAAAAATTTGTATTATTGTTTTTTAAACAAATATCATGAATTATTATTAATATTATTACATTTTTAAGGACTCATAACACATGACATTTTACAATCTGAACTAACCTTGTCTTGTAATAAAAAGCTCAAATTAACAGATATCTGAAAAGACTTTAAACATCATTTCGCTTTGATCATCGTTTTTTTTTTCTGCAAATTGGTGACATTACATAACTGATTTGGTGGACAATAGTTTTTCAATAATTATTAGTGAAATAAATGTTAAGTTGCTGCAAATCAGTTACTTAAAATAATAAAAAAAAAACATTTTCTTCATTAAGATACAAGGACAGTCAACATTTCTGACTTCATGCCCCCCCCCCCTAAAAAAATCAAAATAAAATTTCAATTTAGAAATTAGAAGAAGTTAATTCAAGTCATTGTAGGTATGAATTGCATTTTTAATGTATTTTGAAATAAATTAACAGACCCGGACAAAAAAAATGAGCGCCATGAACCATTAAAAATTGTTAATACAAAAAGGGTCACAGCATCTGTGCATTGAGTGCGTCTCTTCATAAAATGATCAGTAACAGATAAGTAAAGCAAACCGAAAATGGGCGTAGGTGCAGTTAACGTATGAAAAAGCGTTCAATATTTTAATCAGACATGATATGGCTCATAAACGCTTTACAATTGTGTCATTTCAAAATACTTTGCTAGTTTGTTACAAAAATACGAAACGTGCTGCATATCAGTGTATTATCAGTGCCTGGAAGAATTCAGTAACTACACGTGGCACAAAAATGCAAACCTATTCGTTCTCTGATAGTCTAGTTATATAGATTTAAAACTAAAAACATCATGTTCCTGGTTAGATCTGGCACAGAGCAGCAGCTTAGAGATCAACTTCAATCTCTCATTTTATCGGATTAGCCAAGTAGAAAATGATTGTCTTGAGACATAAAAAAGTGTGGAGGAGGAGAGACTCCAGCTATTATCAGTCCAAGGACACTTGATGGGAGCAAACGGAGGATGGAGCTGAATATGTAAGGACAGAGAGACAGACAGAGGTGTGTGTGTTTGTGTTTTTCAGTCAGTAGCAGTAGAGGCAGCTATGTGCGCGTTTTCCTCTTGTCGTCGAAGAGGCTGCGCAGCAAGTACACCTGGACCCCAGATACGATCACCATGACAACAAGGTTGGTACACGACCACAGGTTGACCCGCTCGTAGTTGCTCTCTTGCAGGTTGCGGTCACGGGCTTCGAAGGCTTTCAGCAATGTCTGGATCTGAAGACTCTTTCCCAGTCGAGACTTCACGCTGTTGATGGTGTCCTGCAAAGAAACACACACTCTGAATGTGAATATTACTTGCATACACTAACACTGAATTTGATTTTGAAAGAAGTCTATTTGATCGAAAAATACAGTAAAAATTGTGAAATATTATTACAATCTAAAACAACCGTTTTCTATTTGAATATATTTTCAAATGTAATTTATTCCTGTGATGAAAACAGAATTTTTCAGCATCATTACTCCAGTCTTTAGTGTCACATGATCCTTCAGAAATCATTCTAATATGCTGATTTGCTGCTCAAGAACATTATAAGTGTCTGTACTGTCATTTTTGATCAATTTAATGCATCCTTGCTGAATAAAAGTATTACGCTGTTTCATAAATATATATATATATATATATATATATATATATATATATGACCCCAAACATATGAACTGTTCCCACAGTTCCTTTATGTTAGTTCAGAGAGTGTTTTGGAGGATAAAAGAAGCAAAATTGTGTTTTTAATCAGTCTTCTCAACAAATAAACCTCAAATAAATGTATTATGTCTTCAGGATTAAAGGAAAAATAACCAACAGCCGAGACATAAGGAGTCCCACACAAATGTCTAAGAAATCGATAATATCTCCACTCTGAAACAATGGCAGGTAAACAAAGTCAACTCAGATCTTTGACCCAACAGGAACACACAATTTCCTGCACAGATGTGATTTTAATTGGAAAACTTCCTTTTGCTTCCTGAAATAGCTTGTTGATGTAGAATCAGTTTATATACACTTCTTTCAAGAAAAAGCGTCAAGTATTTGGCTAGCGGTCCCCGGTCCTTTACTATCAGACCATTTCACAAGCACTCAGGGTCACATTCACACCACCTGTGCTGCACTGCATGCTGGTAGTTGGCATGCCTTGTCAAGATATCTATATTGCTTCGGTTCAAACAAATGTCACCTTAACTGACAGACTGACTACTGCCATATGCTCTGTGAAAGCCCAAACACTGACATCTGTGAATAGGATAGTTAATTATTCCACTTATTTGGAATCAAAAAGTGGATTTAACCACAATGTTAGTGCATTTCAATAGTGTCAGTGACATATTCATTTACGGAACAATAGTCTTGCTCGTTCACATTCCTTAACAATAGTTTGGGGCTACCACACCTTCTGACCAGTGATTTCCCAATATATATTTCCTGCTGTTCCTGATTACTGCTTACAAATTCTTAAATATCACTTAATGAACAAAGAGCCATTTGTAGCTAAATGTTGTAGCACTGAGTATAACTAGTAAAATGTAGATTGAATATAGATTTTTTATTTTATTATATTCTTTTCCATAATATGTGGAAAGATTCCTTGATGCTTCTTGATGTTCTGTTTGAACACTGATGGTTTTGCAAATATTAAAAGATATTACACTAAAATTCAAAAGTATGGGGTCAGTACGATTTTTTTCTACAAAAAAAAAAAAAAAGACTTATGCCTAAAAATACAGTAAAAACAGTCATATTGTAAAAATATTACCATTTAAAATAACAGTTTGCTATTTTAATATATTTTAAAATGTAATTTAGTCCTGTGCTGAATTTCAGCAGCCATTACTCCAGATTATTTATTTCTATTATCAGAGTTGAAAACAGCTGTGCTGCCTAATATTTTTGTGGAAACTATGATTAATATTTGTTTCAGTATTTTTTGATGCATAGAAAGTATGCAGTAGAACAGCTTTTTTTAACATGATAAATGTCTTTACTGTCACTTTTGAACAATTTAATGCATCCTTACTGAATTCTTTCTTTCATTCAGTCATAAACAAACAAACCAAAAAAACTACTGACCCCAAACTTTTGAACAGTAGTATACATCATGCGCTGCCTGAGACACTCTTGTTTCTTTGGCACGTATTTTTCATACCATGATATCCTCCAGCTTCATGTCCAGAAGGTCTGCTCCCTGCACGTATGCTTTCCAGTCCTCCGATTCCTCGCCGTCCTCCATATTGTCCAAAATCAACTCAAAGAAGATGACTTTCTCGGAAACTGCACTGAATGTATTATCAAAACAGAACATGTAGTCTCCCTCTTCTGTTTCCATTCTGAAGTAAAAAAAAGTCACATAAAAAATGAAGAAAGGCCAAGCACGGATAATCAGGAAGTAATTGGCTCAGTGTATATGACTAAACTGTGATTGTGGGTAAAACGTACGTATGAACCCCATCAGACTTTCTGTAGTCAGTGGCTATAATGTGACCGCTGGGCGACTGTATGTAGAAGTCCACATCTAGACTCGCTCCATCCAGAACCTGCACACAGACACATAGATTTCCATTAATGATGAGTCAACAGAAGGACCTGCTGATTCTGCCCTCACAGCTTGAAGCTTTGAGCTTACTGTGGGCATGAATCAAAGTCCTTTTGGTACTTTTCCTTCTCCCAAAATGACCTTTAGCTCCACTGTGTCACTTCTCCAACTGCAGGATTGTGTCGCAACTTCAAGTTTAATTTTCATAATGCAGCATACTGTATTGCATTAGATCATGCTTGAAATAGAATTATTGCAGTTTGTTTTGCAACCAGCTAATTGGCAAAAATTGGGGCTAATTATGAAGAAAACCCTTTTTACAAAAATAAAAACAAGAATAATGTAACAATTAAATGTTATCTAATGTTTTACCTATATTTAACTACATTGTTCTTTGCTGTGCAGAAAAAAGTATAGTCACTCACTTTCACTTCAAATGTTCTCATAAATAAAAAAAAATTATTTCATATTTTTCATGAATTCATACTGCTTACTTTAAACATTAACAAATGCACTTCACACGATTTATACATCTTTGAATTAAAGTTACCTTTATGGTTTTGTGGTATTTTAAGTTGTGCTAACTTAATGTAGAACATTTATTTGTATTATCTCATATCTCATATTATCTATTTTCAACTTAATTGATACTACAACACGTATGTAGGCAGTATCCAACAAGATGATGAAGTTATAACGTCTTGCAGTATCACCAACATACAGGCTGGATCAGAGTGAAATCTCCAGATGTACCTGGTACTCGATCTCCAGAGAAGCGTCTTTCTTCATGGGCTGGAAGAAGCACTCTTTGCGTCCCGCGGGCAGAGTGAAGGTGAAGTCACTGTCCAGAGACTGAGAGAAAGCGCTGATCACAGACACACACAGCGATAAACACGCCACACACACTCTCAGCACCTCCATACTCCACCGCATCTTCCTAGACTTCTAAAACTATCAACAACCGATGAAAGTTGTTCTTCTGTAAACTTCAGCAGCTGCTCGGGACAGCTCAGCAAACGAGTTGGGAATGCCGTGACTTGAGGACCCCGCCTCACAAACGTAGAAATGTTATTAATCGTTTTTAAATCTGCCAGCACATGTACTTCCTCTTTTTATAAGAAATTAATAAAAATTGTATAAAATTATGGAACACGTGTTTTACGAGAATGTATTAAACATGTATATGCACGTACAACGTACACTGGCATATAACGCGACGTTCTGAGCTGTTGCATGATGGGAAATGTAGTCTGCATAATGTAGTTCTGCGCTGCATTGTACGATTAGTACTTTACAGTAGTGATGAGAAAGTCGGACTCATTTCCGCGAATCGTTTCTTTCCCAAGAACCGTTCATTGCAAAGAACCGGTTGTTTTCTCATTTTTATTCAGAGAATAATAATTTTCCTTATGCATAATGATAACACAATAATTTATATTCCCAGGGGGAATATAGAAATATGCAGAGAAATTCAAAAATAGGTATATAATATGTTCCTCCAATTAATTTAAAAGATTCGACTCGACAAATGATTCGTTTACAACCAGGGCTGCGTTCAGCCCCGACAAAAACGGTGCAAAACGTTTTTTAAACGGAAACGGTGGTGCGTTGAACACTATATAAATATATACATGTAAATACATGTACATATTTTAAAAATATTTACTGTATGTGTGTGTATTTATATATACTTAATAAATATACACGGTACACACATATATTATGTAAACAACAACTTTTATTTTGGATGCGATTAATCGCGATTAATCGTTTGACAGCACTAAATATATATATATGTATTTAAAATTCTGGTAAAGGGCCAAAACTTTCTGAAACTTTCTATGGGTGGTGCACAATCCACTAATAAATGCTTTCCTCAAAACCTAAAATTAAGTTATTAAAAACAAAGCATAACAAAAAAGTTAAAGTTAGGCTAGTAATTTAACTGTTAAACGGATATTCAAGTGTTTGTAACGTCTCATGAAGATGAATGTCATATTTTAAACCCCACAAGAATTAAACACGAAAGGGGTTAAATATAACAAAGTAGCTCAATTATTCTCCCATATGAATGCTCTAGCAATATTTCAAATCTCTTATCTTTGAGGTGACGCGTCTGATGACAAAACTTACAACTCATCTAGACCTCGAGGAGTGGGCGGGGTTAAAGTAATACTTGATTCCTATTGGCTGAGGCCGGGGCAGCAGCAGCCGTGAGCGCTGCGCAGCCGAAGCAACAGCAGCATAAGCAGAAGCGAAGCAGTCAGGCAGCCAGCGCTTCTCAACGGGGGGTTTAAAAGAAAAACTAGCCCAACTGTTCGTTCTGGACCGCCAAACACACCCCCTTATCGTAATACAGTTGTAAACAATTAGCATTATTAGCTAGTCTTGGCCTCTGTCGTCAGTATTAGAGGTGAATAGATAAAAAAGCGAGGATGTTGGTCCCCGTGGGAAGATAATGAAGAAGCTGCGCGTGTTGTTGCTGTGCGTCGTTTTAGCTCTCCTGTGCTGGTGAGTCAAAATATTTTGTTTGTTGAAATGCTATTATAACGTCTCTACATGTCAAGCTGCGCCATAAAAACACTGATACGTTGGCAACGACATCATTTACCACTGTGTTTCTAATGATAGCTTCATGCTAGATGCTAACGTTAGTTCAGTAGCCTCAGAGGTGGTATGTATTTTTAAGCTTCCTGTCAAAAGACGTCAAATAATATGAGCCAATTACTTTTTATATATCATTTATTATTGTGGAATTGCTTGCATCTTGTATAGAAATATGCTGACAGCCTGTTGAAAGTAGTACTGGACCACCAGCTGTCCACTATGAATGTAAATTGTGGATAGAGGGTAAAGAAAACAGACAGCCCTCCATGTATTTTTAGGCTTCCCAATTCTGTATGTGAGCATTTAACAATTTAAATAGTATTTTATGTGTGTTTTTTATTTTTGAAGGCTTTGTTGAACTTTGGCATCAGCTTATATAGTTTAATTTTGTGGCAGTACTTTTTATGGCCATTATCATGAATTATGGTCAGTTTTTATGTATTTAAAAGTAACAGGCTGCTGTTCAGTTGGCTGGACTGCTCGAGCCTAAATTTGCCCTGACCACTGTAGCAAACTCTGTTGCTTTGAGAATGTTTAAAGGGTTAGTTCACCGCAAAATGAAAATTATGCTGTGTTTTACTCACCCTTGAAGCATCCTAGGTGTATATGACTTTCTTCTTTCAGACGAATCCAGTCGGAGTTATATTAAAAATTGTCTTTGATCTTTCAAGCTCTATCGTTGTACTCAGTGGGTGTTGCATTCCTTCGGTTCAAAAGACGTGAAATAAAAAGCACCCTTCCACAAAAAAAAGTGTCTCACACAGCTCCGGGGGGTGAACAAAGGCCTCCTGTAGCGAATCGATGCATTTTTGTAAGAAAAATATCCATATTCAAAACGTAATAATCACTTTAATGTAGCTTGCGCCAACAGTTGTACACAGAAGCAGTTCCGGGAGCATGGTGTATGAGGTCAGCGCTGCGCATGCGCCGGTCAGAAGTGACGCACGCGGAGAGATCGAAACAAAACAACGGTCACTAATTAGAAGTACAAAACGAGGATTTGTAAAGAAGAATGTCGGAGGATTTCGATATAAGCCAAGAGGAGACTTGTTTTCCTTTGCTAAAGTAAGGAAACTTTGCTTCTTTTGATCCTGTTAACAAACGTTGGTTTTCACGAGATGCACCGGTGCATGCGCAACGCTGACCTCATACGTCACCCCCCCGGAACTGCTTCCATGTAGGAACGATAGAGCTTGAAAGATCAAAGACAATTTTTAATATAACTCCGACTGGATTCGTCTGAAAGAAGAAAGTCATATACACCTAGGATGCTTCAAGGGTGAGTAAAACACAGCATAATTTTAATTTTGCGGTGAACTAACCCTTTAATGCATTCGAATATGTGCATATCAATGATAAACTGCACTCGCTCTATGTGCCAGGCTGATGTGGCATCCACCGTGTACAGGTGGTGGATTAGGGTTGGTTCACATGGGTGAGACAAGTACACAATTACACCCTGTAATTGTCGGACATCCTATCAGATTGATGATTTTAATAACGGGCTGATATGCGAACTCATTGCTATTTTCATAACGGCTGATTACAAAGCTTGTATTACTGTGCTTTTGCACAACAATTGATATGCTAGAAATGTGAGACAGAAAGATGTTCGCTTTTGGTACTAGCAATGTTACCTTGTAAGTAAAGGTAAAAGGAAAAAATTCGATTTTTAAAATTGTGAGGATGTCTTCATACCTATTGGCAGAAAAAAAAAAAGAAATGGTTAGTTGCTTAAGAATTGCATCACATATGCACAAACGCACAGGCGGCACAGTTCATAAATACTTGTTGTTGTTATTTGGCACACTTTGTTAGCTTTTATTACTTCATTATGTTTTTTTCATGTTTGCATGGCTTTCAGAAAAGAGCAACCTGGTAAGAATCTAAAATTAATGTAAAACAACGCGTAAACATTTTATTTCCATAATTTGGCTTTTTTACGGAAAAGTAAGCATTACACACCAGAACAGCAAGGGTTTCACAACATAATCTGAAAAGTAAAATAGCTTCAATTACATGAAAGTTTATGTAGTTTTCTTTAGAATAACGTGCACAGGACCAGAGATTTTAAGAATTGAATTGAGTTGAACACCTTTATTGTCATTGTATTTTTCTGTATACAACGAAATTAGGAGCACTACTCCTGACTGGTGTTAGAAAAACAAACATATAACCACAGACAATAAATACTATAAGACTGTACAGTACAATTTTACAAGTAAATACAACAAGTGACTGAGTCCTGATATTCACATTGAGCAATCCGAGTAAAGTGACCATTTATAGTATTGCACGTTGGCCTTCACCTTGATATGCACAGTAAGTTTATACAAAAGTACAATTTAAATGGAATGAGTAACTGTGGTGATTTAGTGACTAGAGATAGTATTGCACATTGACATATAGTGTATATTATTGCACATATATTATTGCACCTTTACTGCAGATATAGTGTTCACATTTAGTAACCAGATATGGTATTTCACCCTGACATACTATTTAGTGCATTGTTTGAAGTTCTGATAAATAAATTGTTCAGACAGTGGTATTGCAGATTGACATACTGCATATTGTACAATATTGTATATTGCATGTTGTATAGCAGCAGTATAGACAGAAGAAATTTGAATGAAATAAGTGACTGTAGTTAAAAGAATAACGTGGTTGGAATAGTATTTTGGCATTAGTGCATTTTATGAGTTTAAAGTCCTGATAGCAACTGGGAAGAAACTGTTCTGTAAGCGAGTGGTTTTTGCTCTTAAGGATCTGTATTGAGTTGTCATTTTATTTTTTTCTATATATATATATATATATATATATATATATATAACTTTTTCCCTTAATTATTCCATACGTTATAGATTGCAAATCATAGATTGCAAAAAATCATGTAACAGGTCAAATTAAAAAATAGACGTATTTCATTTTCTTTATTGAGACAATAAATATCCAGATATTCTGCAAGGTCTAGAGGGGACCAAATAGCGGGGAACCCGCATCTATTGTTACCATCTTTCAGCATTTTGGGCTTTGCAGAATGGTCCTTTTGTTTAGTTGCATAATTACAAAAATAGTCAGGATATTCAGTTTTTTTAATCTAGTTTTAGAAAAGCAGGATAATTGAGTCATGTGAGAAATGATTACTCTGTTTGATATATCAGCTTTTTTTTGGAAAGCTTGCAGCACTTGCTCATAAAAGACAGTTGGGTTAAATACATTTCCAAAGTTTAATCAGATTTGCTGTATTGAAACTGCATGTCATGTGATCTCATATTTGAATGATCATATATGCCAGGGGTGGTGAACTTCAGTCCTGGAGAGCCGCAGCCCTGCAGAGTTTTGCTTCAACCTGAATGATCATATATGCCAGGGGTGGTGAACTTCAGTCCTGGAGAGCCGCAGCCCTGCAGAGTTCAGCTCCATCCCTAATTAAAACTCACCTGCCTGTAGCTTCCTAGTAACTGTTCAGACCTTGATTAGCTTGTTCAAGTGTGTTTGATTAGGGATGGAGCTGAACTCTGCAGGGCTGCGGCTCTCCAGGACCGGAGTTCGCCACCCCTGATATATGCGGTTGTGGCTGGGTGAGCACAATGGAGTCATTTTTTTTAAATGGAACAAAGTGAT